CTGGGCTCCCTGAGATGGGGGGGTCGGTATACCCGTGGTGGGGGGTTGGTACACCCGTGTGCTCTCTGAGGTGGGGGGGTCATTACACCCGGGGTAGTGCTGGGCTCCCTGATTTGTTTTCCCTACGGGTGGGTTCAGGATTCCTTCCCCCTGCCCAAGCTGTGCTGAACTCAGACGGTGCCCACCCCCCGGCTGCTCCCTGCGGTGTCTCTGACCCCAGCGTGCCTCGGTTCCCTGCTGACCCCGCCTGGGGCTGTCTTCCAGATTACGAGGAGGTGGTCTGGATCCCCAAGGGCTCGGTGCACATTGACGTCCGGGAGCTGAACCTCTCTCTCAGCTACCTGGGTGAGCAGGCGCAGGGGACAGGGCGATCCCAGAAGATGCCCTGTCCGTGCCCAGGCCCCCCTCTCTGGGGAGCCGTGGCTTGGGCAGGGCCCACCTGGCACGTCTGCCCGGGGGCTGGGAGGCTTCCTGGGAACGAGCCGGCTGGCCCCGCCGCCCTGAGAGCCCTCTCCTCGCCTGTCCTTCCAGCGCTGAAAGGGGAGAGCGGCGAGTATTTCATCAACGGGAAGCTCTCCATCGACCCGCCCAGGCGCCTTGACCTCGCCGGGACGACCTTCCACTACAGGAGAGCTCCGGACGAGCCCGAATCGCTGGAGGCCCTAGGGCCTACCAATGCCACGCTCATTGTCATGGTAACGGCCTCATCCTTCCCGGGCCCTGACGGCCGCTAAACCATCCCATTCGATTATCCCCCTCCCGACTCCGCCCCCCCCAAGTTAATGCTTAGGAGGGAGGGACACCGGCATCTTGGGGCCAAATTCTTCTCCAATCCCTGCCCCATTCGGCCCCAGAGCCAGGGATAAAATCAGGTTTTGGCGGTGGGGTCCCTCCGCTGTGCTGCTCTGGGCCGGCGGACAGCGACTCTAGGGGCTCCAGAGCTGGGAAGGGGGCGGAGCCCAGCAGCTCTGGAGCCCGGAGGCCGGTCCTGGGACACTCCGCGAGAGGGGCCCGGGGTCACACTCCGCTTGATGGCTGGTGGGCCCCGGCGCACTGACGGCCCCTTTCTCCACAGGTTCTCGTGCGGGCAGAGCTGCCGGGGATTCGGTACAAGTTCAACACGCCCCTCGCCCGCAGCTCCCTGACCCAGTATTCCTGGCACTACGCGCCTTGGACCAAATGCTCCGCCATCTGCGCGGGGGGTGAGAGGCTGGACCATGCTTGGGGGGGAACAGCTGCAACCCCCGTGATTCCCCACGTCGGGCTTTGCTTTGGGAGTCCCGTTTGTCTAATGGGGCTTTCAGACCCGAATCCCACAGTCCGCCGCTTGCAGCGTCCTGTCCGTCTGCATGGCCATGGCCAGGGGGTGGGAAAGGCACACTGGAAACTCAGCGGCATGTGTCTGGCAGCAGCTTGGACTGGACCACAATGGTCCCCTCTGGGCCTTTAAATCCCTGCTCTGTGAACCCCTTAAATGGATGCTTCCCAGGATGCCGGGGGGCTGACGCTGTGTTTCTGGGGGTGTCTGGCGTCTCTGAGGACCTTGGCGGGGAGGGGCTAAGCAGGGATGCCCAAGAAAACAGACAGTTTGAAAACCAAGATCTGGCAGCAGCTTGGACTGGACCACAATGGTCCCCTCTGGGCCTTTAAATCCCTGCTCTGTGAACCCCTTAAATGGATGCTTCCCAGGATGCCGGGGGGCTGACGCTGTGTTTCTGGGGGTGTCTGGCGTCTCTGAGGACCTTGGCGGGGAGGGGCTAAGCAGGGATGCCCAAGAAAACAGACAGTTTGAAAACCAAGAAAAATGGTCTGTCAGTGTGGGTGTGAGGGGCCGTGGGCGGGCGGGGGGCCCCACAGCAGGGTTGGGTGTGAGGGGCCACGGGAGGGGGGTGCAGGACACACCCGATTCTCGTGGCTTTCCCCTAAGCCTGCTCACAAAGCCTTCCATGCCTTTGGAAAGCAGCTTGTTCTGGGCGCTGTAGTGCAGGACCCTGTGGGCAAAGGCCTTCACCTACCGATTTCCAGGCTTTCGAGAGGATGGAAACGGGGCTGTAATGCGAAACGTCGGGGTATCCTGGCCGTGGAGCGAGCAGGGGTTGCCCCCCCAGGGACCCAGCATAAGTTGCCGGGTTCGGTTAGGGCTTCGCCCCCGCAGACGGGCCCCAGGACCGGGAGTGCTGAGCGGTTCCGGACCCTGTAAGCAGCCACAGCTGTGTCAGTCGCCCCTTCTCCCGCCGCCCCCGCAGGCAGCCAAGTCCAGTCCGTCGTGTGCAAGAAACAGGCCGACAGCTCCACAGTCTTCAACCATTTCTGCAGCCCTGAAACCAAGCTGCCTGAGAAGCAGCGGCCGTGCAACACTGAGCCATGTCCGCCCACGTGAGTGTGTGACGGGGGTCGGTCCCAGCGCCCGGGGGGGCAGGGCCAGGGACCCCCCAGCCGGCTCCAGGCAGCCAAGTCCAGTCCGTCGTGTGCAAGAAACAGGCCGACAGCTCCACAGTCTTCAACCATTTCTGCAGCCCTGAAACCAAGCTGCCTGAGAAGCAGCGGCCGTGCAACACTGAGCCATGTCCGCCCACGTGAGTGTGTGACGGGGGTCGGTCCCAGCGCCCGGGGGGGCAGGGCCAGGGACCCCCCAGCCGGCTC